CTGGTTCACAGAATTGAATTTTCCGAAGAATGACATTTCAAATATATTTTCTCATCGTCAAATGCTCAGCTTTGTTGTAAAAATGACATTCAGTTATTTCGTATTTGCTGATGAGCTTGTATCGCGGTGTTATTATTTATTAGGTGTTAATTAGAACTATTTGTCCCAAATTATAAAGTAATAGACTAGAGGGAAGGCAGCTAGTCACACCACCCACCTCTATTTTTTGGACTATTCTTACTTAACGAAGCCCTCAGAGGCCCAGCGCTATGTCTGCAGGCTTACAACGCTAAAAATCGGGTTTCGATACCCGTGGTGGGCAGAGCACAGATAGCCGATTGTGCAGCTTTGTGCTTAACCACACAAAAACAAATACTTAGCGGAAAATGTGATTAACCGTTACATACAACACCTACACGGTTGAAAGGGCGAGTCATGTTTGGTGACGGAATTCAAGCCCACGACCCGCTGATCGCGACTCAATCACTAGATCATACCAGGCTTAATTTTGTACGCCCACCTTACCATCACCCGTATATGCTTTACGAAAACCTTTGGTATTTAAATAATGTTAAAAAAATTCTAGGAAAGCATATAAGCATTCCACTCTGACTTTTCCCCTTGAATGTTTGAGCTTTGCAGCCTGAAAATCACATTAAACAGCCTGTAAAAATTTGTTGTTTTTAGATACGTGTGCCTTTTTTATACGCTTTCAGTCCGATAGAAAGGTTGAATTTAATAAGCATTCTTATTAAAAATTAGTGCTCGAGTTTCCTTCGCCTTTCTAAGGTAATTTTTAATATGAAAATATAATATAAGCTTAAACCAACAACGTGACTAGCTTGTTTCTCTGTTTTTGCGCAAAGCTACAGAACTGGCTCAACGAGAAGTTGAAACCGGGGTTATGATGTTGTAAGCCCCTAAACTTACCGCTGATCCACCGGGTGACACATGACTAACTAAAAAATGTGGTAATTTTGACAAATCTCAACTAATGACTTGCCTTGTTGCTCAATAGAACTTTGCGTGGCTTTTTTTTCTGTAGGAGATAGCTTGGTGAAATTTTGAAATATTTGAACACCCTATTGTGCTTTCTAGTCTCTATTGTTGAAATACGATAAGTCTGGTGTTTCGTATCATGTTCCGATTTTCTTTCATCAAAAGAAAGTGGAATTAAAAATAATACAAATCTTCAGAGAATATTTGGTGCCTCACCCTGACAACGATAAAAATGTACATGTAGCGGATGATGAAATGTGGTGTAATGGTAACGCCAAATAAAATAAGCAATATCTGTATTGGTTGATATGTCTAAATGAATGCCAAGAAATACATCTGTTTGTCATATGCCTAGACTCGTAATTTTATACCAATTATTTCGTCATAACTTCTAATTTGCACGGTGCTACGCACTTTCTCTGTCACTTTGTTGCATGTATTGTGAAGGTAATATGTTAAACAACAGTACATGGTTGCTTTGTATAGTTTATTAGACTTGAGGAGTATTTTGTTGCATGTATTGCGAAGGTAATATGTTAAACAACAGTACATGATTGGTTCTGTATAATTTATTAAACTTGGTGAGTATTTTGTTGCATGTATTGCGAAGGTAATATGTTAGACAACAGTACATGATTGGCTTTGTATAGTTTATTAGACTTGAGGAGTATTTTGTTGCATGTATTGCGAAGATAATATGTAATTTTTAACGAAATAGTAACGCTATTTGTGTAAGAATTAGTCTTCCCGACTAGAAATATTTATTGTTGGCTAATCATATATGCTGCAATCTGAGCCTTATAGCAACTTGCCACATACTGGAGTCTGAAAGCAGCAGTAACTTACTATGGTATGCAAGTTAAAACCAGCAATACGTCGTCGCTGAGTTTCGGTCTTACGTCAACCATATTTTACCATGTTTTGCCGTCTAAGTATAACTATAGCAAATATGCCAACATTAATTCATCGTTGATCTTCGATGTTTACAATGAACACTATCTAAATCTAACTAGAGCTGGTCTTGTTTCGCTGATAAAAATAACTCGTCGCTGGTATTCGATGTAAAGTTAACAATAACTTTCCGTAAACACCGAAAGTTTAAACAATAGTCATAAATATATAAAAAAAACAAGTTTATCTTTTTCCAAATATTTGTTTGTTTTTTATGGAAAAAAATAAAACAAATATATAGTTTTTATACCTATGTTTAGGTTTAATCATTTACTATTTATTAAGAATGTTTTACTTTAGTTGTGACTGTCTTAAGCCAGCATTACCTCGTTTCTTAGTATTCGTTCTAATGCTGACAAGTTATTTAATAAATACTGCTATATAAAACCGACAAGTATAGCACGTATTTTAAAGTATAATACACAAAATGTAGGTCGTTAGGCTAAAAGGTTGACCACATATTTCTCTGTATTTATAAATATGTATCACGAGATATCTCAACATATTTCTTAATAACGTTATACAGCAACTTACCATATTAAACCTGTTCTTGCCGTCTACTAAAGACGAAGTAGCGAAACTGATTAGGACGCACGAACATAGTGAGAGATATGTGTTGATGATTGCTCTATGACGATCGTCTCCTAGACCTAGAGCGGAGTTAAAGCTAGGCCAAAACAACCACAAGTATATAGTTCCTGTAGAAAAACAAACATAAAACGTATAAGAATGTAATTTTATTTTATTAAAAGAAGAGCATTTCATAGTTAAATAACACAATTCTAAGCGAAGTTTTAGGTAATTTCTTCATATATCAATTAATCAACTATAAATACTATGGAATTCACAGTCTCTACTTTAAAAGCTGGTTCCTTCTAATTGAACGATTATATTGTAAGGCTAACAGGTTATTCAAGTTTTCTGTTTTCTCTGTAGAACGTATTAGTTTGAACATCAAAAGAGAATTATATACAATTTTCAACTACATCTAGTTAATTATAAAACTGTCTGTCTTTTTTTGTCTTTGATACCATTTTTTTCATCTATATATTTTTTTTCCACTATAGTTTTCCGTCAACTGATGGAATCTATATTTAAAGTAGGGTACTGAATCAGTAGCATTAATCCTCCAGCTACGTACAAGTTAATATAATTAATACAAACTACAGAGTTAGTTGACTTATCTTACTTAATTTGTCAGTTAACACTATAGTAATTGATTACACAGAGTGGTAAAAGTTACAGCATTACTTTTCTATCTTTTGTCCCTGAAATCATCTGACGCTCCAAAAATAACGTAGTAACAAAACAAAACACTAAAATTGTTACAGGATATGAAATCAGATGTCTGATTTTTTTGACATGAAACATACACAACTTTTATTGTATGTATTTAGCTACATTTTCACTTTTATATGTATTCGTTTTATAGTTGCGTTGAAAAGAGTGATTTGATGTCCCGAAGACGAAGACGATAAAATAAAATAAGCAAAAATTACAAATTTGTTTTGAACTTTATTAACAAAGTTCTACAACCTGTTTCGTGACAAAGTTTCACTTCCTTTAGGAATTATATATATTAAGTTAATGTGATTTCCCACACAAGAAAACGATGATCAAGAAATAAAAGATTTCATCATTTTAATGTTACCTTACGTTGCAAACCGATAGTAAAACACTCCAGTAAAAGTGGTAGCGAATGTACAATGTTAGAGCTTACCAATCATAGCAAAAATATCTGAATGGTATACAGCCCCTTCTTTAGGATGTTCACAGAACTCCTTTCGATACAAAACGAAAGTCACAGCTAGCCCAAAATACGCTCCAAAAGTGTGGAGGAAAATGGATCCGCCAATATCGGCTGTCTGCAATTAAGAATACAGGAGTGAATGGGCGTTTGGTGCTGACCAAATTCGGTTATTTAAAGTAACGTATATGGGAATGAATATATCTATAATTTGTGTGTGTGTGTGTATATATATATGTAATAAACTAACAGTGTTATCTAAAGCTTAGGCCTAAAATGTTAGTCTTAGTTAAGATCTAACTTTCAGTATTATAAGTTGAAATAAAATTATTTTACTCTAAGAGTAATACTGTTTCTTAAGACGTAGAGAAGACAAGTTCAGCAATTTCAAACTTTTTAGTTTCTCTTGGGACGTAGAGAAGACGCGTTCGGTAATTCCAAACTTTCTAGTTTCTCTTGGGACGTAAAGAAGACAAGTTCAGTAATTCCAAACTTTCTAGTTTCTCTTGGGACGTATAGAAGACAAGTTCATAATACCAACCTTTCTAGTTTCTCTTGGGACGTAGAGAAGACAAGTTCAGCAATTCCAAACTTTCTAGTTTCTCTTGGGACGTAGAGAAGACACATTCGGTAATTCCAAACTTTCTAGTTTCTCTTGGGACGTAGAGAAGACAAGTTCAGTAATTCCAAACTTTCTAGTTTCTCTTGGGACGTAGAGAAGACAAGTTCGATAATTCCAAACTTTCTAGTTTCTCTTGGGACGTAGAGAAGACAAGTTCAGTAATTCCAAACTTGCTAGTTTCTCTTGGGACGTAGAGAAGACAAGTTCAGTAATTCCAAACTTTCTAGTTAAACCAGATTTGGATGGATATATTTATATTATTGCGAGTTACTTAAGTGTTTCTTTCCTCTCAGTGTTTAATTTCCTTTGACAAATAGTGAGAGGGATTAATAAAATAGAGGTTTATTTTGAACGACGAATTGCTCTATTGTTAGTTGAGGTAGCACTTACCCTTAAAACATGGCAAATTTACATGTGTGGAAACACTGTTAAGCACTTCTTGTAATCTTCAAGTTGAGCACAGAACAAAAATATGATGTCACAATCTCTAAAACTACACTTTTAGTCATACATGTCATACACATAATTAATGTGGCAGGGATAGAGAAATACATAACGTAAACTGTTTTTACATCATAACTTTAATTAGGTATGATAAAAATATGTGAAATTTTATGCATATGCTCTTTGTGTACATCCTCATAGCTTGAATTAAAAACTATGTAAGTTTTCTGCAACGTTAATGAGCTGTGGGCAATTAATTTTAATTAAGGGTAATTAAACTCATAACAAGACAATTGGTAAAGATTTGTGAATAATTCTAAGATATTCAAGATATGGAAGAGTGTAATATCAACAAGTATGCTAAATCTCATGCTGATATTGGCTTTAGTAAGTTTTTAGTAAATATGTACTTTTACCATATTTAACAGTGTTTCCTCACCATGTAAATTTGCCCAAATTTTAGGGTCAGTACTACCTTAAATCCCTTATAATTTCTCTTGACCCCAGTTGGTTGAATAGAAATGTGTTATCATTTGTACCTGATAAACCGACAAACTCAAATACATCTAAGTAATTTAATTAAGTAATATTTCCAGAAACATAAACAATAATACTTCTCTGATTTAGTTTTGATTTAAAAATGAATATCTCTTAATGACTAAGGATAAATGTTTCACCTGGGTGGGATATGAGGATATGGGAGGATTTAGAAACAAAGGGTGGTAAAAAAAAACAGGATAAAAGCTAAGATGAAAGTGAAAAAATGGTGTGGTTGATATGGTAAGTAGAACATGAATACAAAGAGATGTAGATGATCAGCCACATGAAATATCACAGTGAAGTCAGAGCGAAAAGGATGCAATGCTGATCTGGCGGACCCATATCTCTAACTGATAACAAAAACTGCAGAATACATTTAAAACAATATAACAATCTTTAAAAACGAAAAAAATATTTATAAGATAGTTATTCACAGAGCTTCGAACTTATTGGTTGAGACTTAACCTTATAGATTCCCACTCCTAGGTGTTCATTACATCCAAATATGGTGATTTCGATCATACACATGACAACTAGCTGAATAGGGCTAAGTTTACCCAGAAGAGCACCGTACGAAATCAGCACTGTGGCAGAACCAAATTCGGCGTTGATGAGGCTAAATGAAATTAACACAATATCAAAATACGATTTATTTTCACGAATTCCATTAAATTTATATTCACACCTTTTTTCTATTTCGTATAAGTAAAAGTTCAAATTCATTTATAGAAATAACAACTAGCTAAAATAGTTGGTAAAAACTACACACTACACAAAACCCTGCATAGTACATAATAAAAATTACCCAATAATGTATACCTTACACAAAAGGTAAGACTACGATCACATACATTGTAAAATTCAAAGAATGTAATATAATATCTTGGTTATATTTCACATTGATATTAGTGAAAATATTATGTCATAGCTATGTCTTGTGCTCTTTGAAAAAAAAAATTAATCTATTTTTCTTTGTGTTTACAAAACATTATTAATTATTTCTATGTTGAATAACGACAAACCTGTTTTTAATTATTTCTATGTTGAATAACGACAAACAAGTTTTTTTATTATTTCTATGTTGAATAACGACAAACATGTGTTTAATTATTTCTATGTTGAATAACGACAAACACGTTTTTAGTTATTTCTATGTTGAATAACGACAAACATGTTTTTTATTATTTGTATGTTGAATAACGACAAACATGTTTTTATTATTTCTATGTTGAATAACGTCAAACAAGTTTTTTATTATTTCTATGTTGAATAACGACAAACATGTTTTTAGTTATTTCTATGTTTGTCGTTATTCAACATAGAAATAATAAAAACATGTTTGTCGTTATTCAACCAATGTACTATGTGTGAAAAACTTACAAGTGATATCCTTGTTAATGATTTGTGGTCTGAAACTTTCAATAAATATTAAAAAGAGGAAGCTACATTCTTAAGAAAATTGTTTGTCGTTATTTAACATAGAAATAATTAAAATATGTTTGTCGTTATTCAACATAGAAATAATTAAAACATCCTGCATTGTGTGATATTATAATATGAGTTACTTTTGACACATTGCCTCTAACTACTTGTGATGTGATGCTATGAGTTACTTTTGACACGATGCCTCAACATTTTGACATGTATGAGCGAACATGCTTAAGCATTGAAAATAATGATGTATTTAACTGTAACATTAAAAACTAAACGAGTAAATTGTTAGATATTACTACTGCCTATATTTATGTATTCATCTGCGTAATGAACCTATTTACTGCTATACGTACATCAACTATGTTGAAATACTTTTCAAACGTTTATTATAATCAAAATAGAAGATTTAATAAAATAAGGGAAGATTACAAATAAAATAGAAATTCACATCAAGATAGAAACGTAGGAGAAAACTAAACAAAAGTAGAATTTTATATGATCAGGGAGGCTTTTAGATAAAATCCAATTATGTATGTAACCTTACTATTACATAGTGTAATTATGTACGTAGCCTTACTGCTACCTACGTAATCTGATTGTATATGTAACCTTACTGCTAGCTATGTAATCTGATTGTGTTTGTAACCTTACTGCTACATAAACTGATTATGTATGTAACCTTACTACTACATAATCTGATTATGCATGTAACCTTACTGCTACATATTCTGATTATGTATGTAACCTTACTACTACATAATCTGATTGTGTGTATAACCTTAATGCTACATAATCTGATCGTGTTTGTAACCTTACTACTACATAATCTGATTATGTATGTAACATTACTACTACATAATCTGATTGTGTATGTAACCTTACTACTACATAATCTGATTGTGTGTGTAACCTTACTACTACATAATCTGATTGTGTATGTAACATTACTACTACATAATCTGGTTGTGTATGTAACCTCACTACTACACAATCTGATTGTGTATGTAACATTACTACTACATAATCTGATTGTGCATGTAACATTACTACTACATAATCTGATTGTGTATGTAACCTTACTACTACATAATCTGATTGTGTATGTAACATTACTACATAATCTGATTGTGTATGTAACATTACTACTACATAATCTGATTGTGTATGTAACCTTACTACTACATAATCTGATTGTGTATGTAACATTACTACATAATCTGATTGTGTATGTAACATTACTACTACATAATCTGATTGTGTATGTAACCTTACTACTACATAATCTGATTGTGTATTTAACCTTACTACTACATAATCTGATTGTGTATTTAACCTTACTACTACATAATCTGATTGTGTATGTAACCTTACTACTACATAATCTTGTTGTGTATGTAACATTACTACTACATAATCTGATTGTGTATGTAACATTACTACTACATAATCTGATTGTGTATGTAACATTACTACTACATAATCTGGTTGTGTATGTAACCTTACTACCACATAATCTGGTTGTGTATGTAACATTACTACTACATAATCTGGTTGTGTATGTAACATTACTACTACATAATAGTTGCTCAACTATTTCCGTTTTTTAGCCAACTTATTCTTACCTTGACCTTTGACTATTTAAACGTCATACATTTTCGTAATCTATAATTTCGAAAAAAAAGATTTATTAGATCGTGCAAAGATAGAACTAGAAACAAACAGAGCGATGTTTACCTAAAAACGTTTATATGGAGCTTTCCATGGTGAGTATGCCACACGTTCTGCATGATTATTCCCCATTGGACAGCTATGCAAGCCAGAAGCATGTTGAGAGCAACAGCACTGTATCCATACTTCTTCATAAAGGTCATCAAGAAACCAAAACCGATGAAAATCATGACACTGACGTCCTGGAACACTGAAAGTGGCCAATGGGAATATAAAGTTCGGTAATTCAGGTTTCTTTTCTTAAGAACAAACTAGTTACAAATGGGAATACAAAGTTCGGTAATTCAGGTTTCTTTTCTTAAGAACAAACTAGTTACAAATGGGAATACAAAGTTCGGTAATTCAGGTTTCTTTTTTAAGAACAAACTAGTTACAAATGGGAATGAATTACCTAACTTTGTATTCCCATTTGTAACTAGTTTGTTTTTAAGAAAATAAACCTGAATTACCGAACTTTATATTCCCATTTTTAACTAGATTGTTCTTAAGAAAAGAAACCTGAATTACCGAACTTTGTAGTTTCTTTTCTTTAAAACAAACTAGTTAAAAAATGGGAATATATAGTTCGGTAATTCAGGTTTCTTTTCTTAAAAACAAACTTGTTAAAAAATGGGAATATATAGTTCGGTAATTCAGGTTTCTTTTCTTAAAAACAAACTTGTTAAAAAATGGGAATATATAGTTCGGTAATTCAGGTTTCTTTTCTTAAAAACAAACTAGTTACAAATGAAAATACAGAATTCTATAATTCAAATTTCTCTCTTAAAAACAAACTACACATAATTGGGAATACATAGTTCAGTAATTCAGATTTTTCTTCCTAGGAAACATTAATTACAAAAGGGAATAGAAAATTCTGTGGTTCAGATTTATCTCCTTACGCACAAACTAATTAGAAAATACCTTCCATGCTTCCACCTAAATATGTAGCAAAATTTAAATATCTCTATTTTCAATTCATCTTTTCTACATATACAACGTGACTGTAAAATTTGAACTCACATTATTTATGATAAGTTCAATATTTATAAGCCTCTCATATGTACTGTATTTATGCGGTCGTTATCAACTTATCGATAAGTCGGAATTTCTACGAACACACATGCACACACATTCACATTCACAATAATTGCAATTTTTGGAATATTTTCTGCAAAATGTGAGATTATAAAAATCTACGAACGTAAAAGATGAACATAAACACATAGATGAGTATTATGATGTGTTATTATAAAATTCATATCCCCCCCCCAAGAAAGAAATGATTAATCGACAGTTTGCGCCAAACAATATGTGGCCTCCTTCCTTCATTGAAATCAATGAATCTACTTCTTTTGACATTTTTGTCTTGAAAGGAATCATTAAGAAAGCAAATTAGGTTTAACTCCTTCGCAATGGTAAAAAAAGTATTTATTTATAACCTAGAAACCATTGCAAGACACATAGTTATCATAATAAAATGAGCTGATAAAAACACTTGTCATGCCATCTTGCAACTTTGGATATAACTTATCTCATCAGTACATATAACGTAAACAGCTTTTGAAGATTTGGGTTAAAGTACAACAAACTTTGTGTCAGTTAAACCTGGCAAGGAAGTAATGGTGCGACACATTTTTTTATTTCAATTTTTGAACTTTCTTAGGAAGTAATTGTGCGACACATTTTTTATTTCAATTTTTGAGCATTGTTAATAAAAAATAAAAATATTTTGTAAAATAAAATAATTTTAGCTGCGATTAATAACAATGTTAAATTCCCATCAACAAAGAGTTGAAAAACGGAGGGTTTTCATATATACATTTAGAATCTTCAGAATAACGTATCTATGTAATTTTCTCACATAAAAACATAAGAACATGTTGTTGTTGTTTTGTTTTGGCGTTGTGTGAGTGCAGTATTTTTCTTAATTTAGGTCTGTTAACGTTGCATTTGTTTCGTACTTTTGTTGTTGAATTTAGCGCAAAACTACTCGAGAGCTAACTATAGTAGCAGTCTTTACTTTTTAGTCCCCCAGTGGCACAGCGGTATATCTGCGGACTTACAACGCTAGAATCCGGGTTTCGATACCCGTGGTGGGCAGAGCACAGATAGCCCATTGTGTAGCTTTGTGTTTAATTACAAACAAACCCTGCTTTTTAAGTGATGGACTAGAGGGAAATGTAGTGGAGATTTTAAAAGGAAGGAAGAACTGGTGTATTTGGAAGCTAAGTGGTGATATGGGTCTCCGATTCCAAAATATTACAATGTCTCGATTTTCCGCTGAAAAAGAAAAATGTTTGAGTTTTGCAGTAAGTTCTGGACTTTGAAGCTGGCGAACCGTGTTTGAATACGTTCGATACTACAAAACAAGTATAATAAAAAATATTATCTCTAGTTTGGCAAATCATTGTAGTTATTTTAGTCTGATCAGAGTAGGGATATTTTTTTTTTAATTTTAAGCAACTCATATTTTGTAGTTTTGACTTTTAACAATAATTATTTTTCGTAGTTTTAAAACTTTCTATGTTACTATAGCTAGCTAGATTACGTATATATCGATCCCTAGGTGTCTTTATAAAATACAATAAACATTATTATACTTATTTGTTTCTTCTTTATCACTAATATTTTTGTGCGCCAACAATACCAAGCGTGGGGCGCGTGTATACTCGGTTCGATGTTATTACTCATTAGGATCTTTACCAACTTACTCTCAAATCTCATTATATGCTCAAAGTAGCGCATCGTCCGTTATATATATATATACTAGTATCTTTTTCGGTACAAGAAAGGAAGGAATAATTGTAACCCAAGAAATAGAGCGATAAGGTTCGTCCATTTTTCTGTACACTGTCTGGAAAAGTCACTTACTTACTTACTTAGATGAAAATTCGTTGAAATAGTGAAATTTTGATTCACTCCATAAAGACGTATATAGCGAATTAGGCGGTTTTATAAGTGCAGTAAGCTTTACTTTTACTCAGCCAATATTATGAAACAGTCATTCTTAATATTCAAATATTTTAAAGGAGGTTTTAAACGGGCGATTTTGTTTCATCATGATCCCTACTATTAAGCGTGAATGGCAGCAGATAGCCTTAGTAGCTTTGTCTAAAATACAAGATACAAATATAGATTACAAGTATCGTTTTGGTTTCTAAGAAATAATAATTCAATATAATAGATGCAAAATTTTTACTCTTCATTACACCCTCCGGTGGTTGAGTAGTAAGATTACAAACTTACAGCGTTAAAATCCAGTGTTCGATTCCCCGCGATGGTCAGAACGCAGATAGCCCATTGTGTAACAATGTGCTACAACAATAACAAACTTTTGAATTGGTCTGCTGTTATTAAACGCAAAGCTACACAAACCCTCTTCATTACAGCTTCGTCAACAAAAACATTCACATTGTTTTTGGTGTCGACAGGATATTCTTTCGGGGGAGGTGGGCTCGTTTCTGTTCGTGGTGCATCTTTCTTAGATATGTGCACATGTTTCTACACACATATATTTCTAAAACTGCAAATTGTATGACGGGAACTCGATGATGAACAAATCTTTGTTGAAATATATATTCATGCCAATTTTAGGATACTCGATGGCTGTCTTTAAAAGCCGTCCGTAATTTTGAAGTGATTGACCAAAGAAAAGGCAGCTAATAACTACCCACCGCCAATTTTTGGGCTAATATTCTACCATCTAAAAGTGGAATTTACCGTGAAGTTATAACGGCCCCATGGATAAAAGGGTGAAAGAGTTCGGTGACGGGTTTCAATCCCGTGATCCGCAGATTGTGAGTTGAATGCCCTATTCACCAAGACAAGCAAGATCCCCAATACTATTGGGCACAAAGCTACATACACAAATGGATTATCTGTACTCTGCCCACTGCGGGTATCGAAGCCTCATTTTTAGCGTTATAACTTTTCAGACTTGCCGATGAGCTGCTTGAACCCATGTTAACAGAATAATATATATAAAAGTAAGAAAGCTTTGTTTGTGTGTTTTACAGCAAAGTCACATTAGGCTATTTGGTGTGTCCATCGTAAGGAATAGAACCCTGGATTTTAGCGTGGTAAGTCCGTAATATCGCTCTGCCACCGAAGAACATAAAAAGGCTTGGTAGAGTTATTATTTTCTGTTTATACAGAGATGTTTAATGTCGAAGTTCATTATGTAGTCGCTTATTTTAATACTAACGAGTAAATAATGTAGTTTAAAATCTTTCCTGACACAAGTCTAACAAGGATAACTACAACGATAGGTTAATAACCTTAATTAACAAAATATATATGTATATATTAATTTTATTCCAAATAAACAAGAAAAGGTTAAAGTAAAAGAAATCAAATACCAGATTTTGCACTGTAGAGGTTCCCTACCGATTAATTGCTATTTTCAAAGTTCATGTTTAGCTTTATCTTCATATAGATGTAATTATTTAATAAGTAACAAGTGTAAGTAAGTTCATAACAATAACATTAAAATTCATGTTTGTTTTTTACCAAACATGGAGGGCAAGGATTGGACCTAATTTTATCCAATAAGAATTATAATTTTGCCCAAGTTTACGGGTTAAAAAATGAATAAATGAACTTTAAGGACATAGATGGATTTTTATCACAAATACCATTTGCTTCGTCTCGAATATGAATTTACGAAATCTTTCTTAGCTTCTAATTATCACTTACATAATACTAAATAGTCATTACATAACAGTAACAAATACTTACTGCTACTGCTTTTCTCTATTTAATATGTGTGTGATCACAGGGTCGAACGGGAGTTATATTAAACATTTAAAATACTTACGTGGATAATAATCTTCCAGCATGTTCTCCCGATAATTGCTACCGTTCAAAGATGCTGAGATGCTATGGCTTGGGTTGGAGGCATCGGCATCAGGATCGTATACAACAACACATCCGTATACAATGATAAACGCAATTTCTATCAATAAAACCAGCAAAGCAAATTTCCCTCGTTTCCACATGATTAACTTTTAAATATATAGGTTTATATTTATCGTTCAACAGTTAGAATCTAACTGGTTTTATTAAAAATATCAGAACATTAATTACTTATTGATGATTTGTTCACAAAATGTGTTATTTGTCTAACTACTTTTCCCTTTTTTTTAGTGTCAGTCTTATCTAACAGTCATTCGCGTATCGTTTTGGTTGACTACAACTTCGAGATGTCGTTGGTAGCCTTCCCTCGTTGCCTTTTAAACCATAGAACGTATAAAGTGCACTAGCATATATATAGACTTCTTGTTTTTTTATCATTGGTTGAAAGAAGCAAGGCGTAAGTTAGCTAGCTTAGTTGATTGGATAATTTTCACATCCCAAAACACATACGTAAGAGGAGTTGAAACGTTCTATTTCGATGATTAGTGGGCCAACAGTGATGTTAACAGTTTTTAATATTTTCGTCATGACGGAGAAAGTGCAAACTTTTTACCTATGTCAATTTCTTCTCCAAATGTTCTTACTTTGTGTTAGATATTATAATTGTTTATATGTATAGTACTGTTAACACGTCAAAGATAAGATTATTTGCGCCCTTTTCATGGAGTTAGGGCCCTATTATACATAAAGGATGAGCTAATGGCTCATCATACTACGTTTTACCATACAAATATTTATATCGAAACAGCTCAAAAGTATTCATATAGAAATTGAATTAGTATGATGGTAACGAACACATTCACGTTTAATCAAAAATAGATACTTAATAGTAAAAACCCAGAATGTGTTGTTTTATTACCTATCATTTGAAACTAAGCACTCTGAATCCTTTGGGAGCTGTAAATCTCATACGAAAATAAATCATAAACTTGAGATACGTTTTTTACGAATTTAAACAAAAATTGAGAAACATTTCAGTAACTTATCGATTAATCTATAAGACATTATATCACTCATGACTGTTTCTTTGAATAAAAGTTGTTTCAAATTTTTAAACGAGAATCAGAATCAATGTGCTTCAGAGAATATTCAAGTATCATTTTACTTATAGCTCAGCTCTTAAACCCTCTAGTGGCTGATGTAAGCATCTTTAAATCTTGGTTTTTTTTTCATTAAACATTTGGACAATGATATTATTAGTGTTGACGCCAAGCGTCTATTCGGTGATACTAAAGGAATTATTTTCGAACGTATCGTATGATTTTCTTCATTAATATAAATATCGATAATATTATTTTGCGATATCGGGATATTCCTCTCTTTTTGTTTTCATAAAAACTCCAGTGATACACAAGACAGTTTCAGTTATGAGCTATAAAAACTCCAGTGATACACAAGATAGTTTCAATTATGAACTATAAAAACTCCAGTGATACACAAGACAGTTTCAGTTATGAACTATAAAAACTCCAGTGATACACAAGACAGTTTCAATTATGAACTATAAAAACTCCAGTGATACACAAGACAGTTTCAGTTATGAGCTATAAAAACTCCAGTGATACACAAGACAGTTGCAGTTATGAGCTACAAAAACTCCAGTGATACACAAGAAAATTTCAGTTATGAACTATAAAAAGTCGAGTTATACACGAGACAGTTTCGCGTATAGTAAATTATAACGTTTAATAACCATAGGGGGGTCTTGTAGTTTCCAAACTGACTGTAAACCCGCCCGCTTTCTCACACTCTCTCAATTTCAACAGATTTTACCTCAAGCTAATTATTTTGAATTATTTGAAATACGTTAATACACCTCATCAAAAAACATAATAAATTATATCTATTATTTTTAATTGATGAATGAAACAGCCAAGGAAACATCGTTATACAAAATCATAACGTTGTATTTAACTCTTGCGTCAAGGTTACGATTTTACTTGTGTTTTCGTATTCTAAAATAATTCGAATAATAATGTGACGTTAAGGGATTTACCCAACAAGCAGAGTAACACTTCACGGTCCTGGACAGATATCTTTGTAGTGTACCTTTTCTGGGCAGAATGTAATTTACCAGTTTTCAATACGACAAATGATTGTAATTTGTATTTGTAGATCACCCGAACAAGTTGGTATACCAGAAGACTAGTTTGCTGGTTCACAAGTTCTTATGAATGGTAGTAAAAATAATTAAAATACAATAATTATATCCAAAAATAAACAAATAACCATTGTTAAAAGTAGAAAAATAAATAAATAACGTTATGTAATTAATTCTTACCCGAAGAATCTGATTTCTAAATGACTTAAATAAAATTGATAATCATTACAATTAATTTCCTTAATCTGGTTCAGGAAAACTGATGATATATATAATATCTAGACCATATTGTATCTTTTATATCTCATCCGACCTGCTCCCCCAGTGGCACAGCGGTGTGTCTGCGGACTTCTACTGCTAGAAACCGAGTTTCGATACCCGTGGTGGGCAGAGCATAGATAGATAGCCCTTTGTGCAGCTTTGTGCTTAATAACAAACAACAACCCAACCGACCTGATGAGCCCCGGATTGAAGAAAGGTATCTTCGACACTGGATAAAGCAAATGTAGTGTGGTTGTACATATTATAACATATTTTGTTTTGCTTTCACTCATGT